GTGTTTACTCTGGCTGCTTTGCCTGTGATGGGACATTCATTTCCTTGGTATGTCTGTTTCCTCTGATTAAAATACTCCAGGCTATAACACTGAAGGAGGAAGATGATAATATAAGTAACTAAAAAAAAAAAAATAAGACTGAAAGTATATTTTTGTTGTTTCGACCAGGATGTAGAGGTGTGGACATGGCACAATTCTTGATGATTGAAGCTTCAAGATAATAGTGTCATAAACAGCATAAGCAAACATGATGTAATGATAAGTTGGTTACAATATTCAGATTCATATCTAATTTTCCATGAATGTCCCATGTCAGATTACTCTGAGATTTCAATAGTGCTTTCCTAAAGGAAGCAGTGATGCTCAGCAGTAGTTGTTGCTTGAGTCAAAATTCCTAAAATTCCTTTGGACATTGATGACAATTTGCATACTATATTATAGACGAACAATGTTTGTTTACGAGAATTACAATTTCTGATAGAGTTTCCCAATTATTTCAACATTCTTTGCTATTGTTCAGTTATGTATGTCATGATTTTGCTGAGAGAAGGGTGCTCTCTCAGACATATAATATAATATCAATTCTTATAGCACTTTATTTAACAACACACATTATTCAAATTATAATCTATAATTATAGCCATGCATAGCATATTTCACTAGGGTTTACAAACAGTGATTTCCTTTTTATTTTCTTCATAAAAGGAGAATATTTATTGAAATCACACCCGTCAAGAGAGTTGTTTCTATTCATTAAAATAAACTAAAAAAAACTGATCATTTTTACTTTTATTCTAATTCTTTTTTTATTTTACATTACCAGCTGAACACTTTTATTTTTTTTTTATAGACCTTTTATATAGTAATAAACATTTGCAAATTTAAATGATAACCTTCACCTTTAACCAGATGATTAGCTATTTAAAATTAACGCACATATATGTACATGTAAGGACCAAACTGGGGGACTGGGCATATAGAGAACTAGGGAATACTGTGGAGTCATATTCTGACACCGAAATAAAGCACCGCGCTTACAGCAGCAGTGGCTTAGTATCTAACCGTGCAAAATACATAGTAAAAACAAAGAGAACGTTACCTGCGCTCTGGCCTAAATCCCTATGTACATTTAAACAAAATGGGGGCGCTTTAATTTTATTCCAATGGCAATTTGAATATAAGGCAAGCTCCAAAAGGCAAGCTCCAAAAGCAGAGAAACTGCTATGTTTACGTTTGGGGTTAATCCAGCCTCTAGTGGCTGTCTTGCAGACAGCCACTAGAGGCGCATCTGCGACGCTGGAGGCACATTTTGCCTCCATCGCGCAGAGCGTCTATAGGAAAGCATTGGTTTTAACAAGAGTTTTAACCCCTTCAGCGCCACGGGAGGAGGAGGACCCTGAGGGTGGGGGCACCCTCAGGACACCATAGTGTCAGGAAAACCGATTTGTTTTCCTGACACTATACTGATCCTTTAAAATAGAAAGGGAAGCTAAAATGAATCTAAAACATGCAACTTTCCAAGAAGACAATGAAAATATTTATTTAGATTAAAGATGAAAGAAAACTTGATGACATTGTTTCACAGCTCTAGATCAGTATGAAATTGCTTCTTTATAGTGACTCTATTAATAGCAACATTTGTAATGTGATAACACTGTCAAAATCATTTAATAAACCAAAATTTATTGGGAACTTCAAGTCTTAGGCCAAACCAGTAGAACTGGAACTATTCTCCATGACAACTATTTTTCCAGCTTAGTTATTTTGCTCCAAATTTACCATTGCCGGTCAGTCTCCAACAATTTCCTGTTCAGAGAATAACCTTAATTTTGTTTCTAGAAATGATTCATGAGTTTTTCTGGATAATCTGCAGACAATATAAAAAAAAACGAAAAGGCTCTGGTAGATATATACATAGAGCAAATTAATACTGAAAAAAGAAATTAAAGACTGCTCCCTTCTCCCCACTAAAACAAAAATCTAAAATAAGATTTAGAAAACGGCTAATGGAGAATTCTAACAGAGCTTTGATTTTCATCAGGTAGCAGAGTCTACAATATAATATTGTCTAAAATATTTAATAATGGAGGTTGCCATTGTAATCCCCAGATAAGATATTAGTATATATTTTTTAAATCACTTTCATAATTGTGCCATTATTGCAAAGCTGATTTATATAAATGTTACGTAATTTATATTGTTCTTTATATGTGTTTATGTATAAATCGACCAACATTTATAGTAAAATGTGTAACTATACAAAAGTAGCCACAGAAACAAATTGAAAATAATAATAATAATACAACCATATCTTGTTTGCTTTCTATTGTATGCATGTTTTAAAACTAGTTATATTACACCCATTGACTATAAAAACATACAGCAAAATTTAAGGACAAATTCCCAGAGCAGATGGTGTTGCATAATACTAGACTGTAACAGTGTAAAATACAAACTATATAGCCTGCAATATGCTGAATTCACTCATGGTTCTATCTTGAAATAATAGCTTCCTTTTGTAAAGAGGTAATAGACACAGTTACCCATTAAAATCACCCATATTTCCCTGCATATATAATAGGAGCTAATGATATATAATGTATTATGGCCCCGTGCAAGTTGCATTAAGTCTCTAGCAAGAAAGTCAGCTACGGATTAACAGAGTAATTGGAATAGTAAAGGAGGAGGGTTTAACCCCTTAAGGACACATGACATGTGTGACATGTCATGATTACCTTTTATTCCAGAAGTTTGGTCCTTAAGGGGTTAATTGGGTTTTGAATTGCTCACTATATGAAGGGGATGATTGTGGCATTGTAGTCTATACCTACTACTACTATTATTATTATTATTATTATTATTATTATCATCATCAGAATAACATGTTGTTTGGGATGATTAGGTTTTAGTTCCCATTATGACTGTCCTTAGTTCTCCCTATCTGCTTGCTTATAAGTGAACTTTAAAGCAGAAATGATAATAAAAAAATCAGCTATACAATAAATGTATTTCTCCAACTAGAGTATTCAAAGCAGAACTCCGAAAGCCATTGGTGAAGAAAAATTGAGCCCTGGCAAGTAGAAACCCAACCCTGGTAAGTGTATCATGGACTGTACATGTTTACAGTTGTGAGTAACCGTTATGTCTGTCTAGAAGCGTAGGCAGTGGCGTAGCTACAGCTTTTGCTGCCCGGGGCTGTCCCTAAATTTTGCCACCCCTATCTCGACCCATATACAAAATCTTTTTTCATTGAATAAGTTCCAATAAACTTGTAGAGTGGTAATGTAGAATAATTGGTGAAACTAACAATTGTATTGGCACTTATTGAAGAAGGGATCTGTGAGTGCATGGAGAGAGGGGGACTGTGCAGGGGAGCAGGGGGACTGTGCAGGGGAGGGAGAGGGACTGTGCAGGGCAGGGATGGGGACTGTGCGGGGGAGGGAGGGGAATTGTGCAGGGAGAGAGGGGGACTGTGCAGGGAGAGAGGGGGACAGTAAGGGTGCAGGGAAAAAGGGGGCCTGTGAGGTGAGGTGAGGTAAGTGTATCATGCACTGTTCATGTTTACAGTTGTGAGTAACCGTTAGGTCTGTCTAGTAGCGTAGGCAGTGGCATAGCTAGAGCTTTTGCCGTCCGGGGCTGTCCCTGAGTTTGCCACCCCTATCTCGACCCAAATACAAAATCTTTTCCATCACAAAAGATTTTTTCATTTAATACGTTCCAAAACAAATGTCTGTTTCACCAATAAAGTGGCAATGTAGAATTATTGGTGAAACTAACAATTGTATTGGCACTTATTGAAGAGGGGATCTGTGAGTGCATGGAGAGAGGGGGACTGTGCAGGGGAGGGGGATTGTGCAAGGGAGGGAAGGGGACTGTGCGGGGGAGCAGGGGAAGGAGGGGGACTGTGGGGAGGGGGATTGTGCAGGGAGAGAGGGGGACTGTGCAGGGAGAGAGCGGGACTGTGAGCGTGCAGGGAGAAAGGGGGTCTGTGCAGGGGATCTATGAGGATGTTTAGAGGGAGGGTGTCTGTGGGTGCATGGAGAGAGGGCTTCAATGCAGGGAAGGGAGGGGGAGGGGACTGTGAGGGTGCAGGGAGAGAAGGGGGAATCTGTGCAGGGAAGGAGAGAAGAGATCTGTGTAAGTAGGGGGGACTGTGCAGGGAAGTAAAGGGTCTGTGAAGGGAGTGAAATGGTATCTGAAAGGAGGGGTCTAAGCAGGGAGGGAGAGGGTCTGTGAATAAAAGGGGGCAGAGCGGGGAGGGAGAGGGTCTGTGAAGGTAGGGGGGCTGAGCAGGGAGGTAGAGGACCTGTGAAGGTAGGGTGGCTGAGCAGGGAGGGAGAGGGTCTGTGAAGGGAGAGTGGAACATTGAAGGGAAGGGGAAAGGGGATTTGTGAAGGTAGGGGGGTCTGAGTAGGGAGAGAGAGGGTTTGTGAAGGGAGGAGGCTGAGCATGGAGGGAGAAGGTCTGTGAAGGGAGGGGGTCTGAGCAGGGGCGGACTGAGAGCCTTTGGGGCCCCCGGGCAAAATTAGATCCCAGGCCCTTTGAAGGCCAAATATATGTGCATTTTAATAAATGTTAAATATAATTCATAATACGGCATTCCTTTGGATGTGTGTATTGTGAAGACCTGTGTATCAATGCATGTTTGTATTTGAGTCTGTGTGAATGCACTTGTGCATGTCTGGATGACTACATGTGCTTTTTGTATATAGTGTCTGTGTGAATGCATATGTGACAGGTGACAGAGTGTATGAGGGAGAAGGTGACAGGTGGAAGAGTGTGGGAGGTTGTGACAGGTGGCAGAGTGAGGGGGTACCTGGTGGCAGAGTGAGGGAGGGAGGGGTTGAGTGGTGGCAGAGTGAGGGGGAGACACAGTGAGTGGGGGTGACTGGTGACAGAGTGAGGGAGTGGGTGACTAGTGACAGAGGGAAGGAGAGGGGGAGACTAGTGACAGAGGGAGGCAATGGGAGACTAGTGACAGAGTGAGGGAATCAGTGACTAGTGGCAGAGTGAGGGAGGGAAGGGGTGACTAGTGACAGAGTAAGGGGATGACTGGTGACAGAGTGAGGGGGGGGGTGACTGTCACTAGTCACCCCATCCCTCTCTCTGTCACTAGTTACTCCCTCCCTAACTCTGTCACTGTGTCACCCGCTCCCTCCCTCTGTCACTAGTCACCCCCTCCCTCACTCTGTCACTAATCACCCCCTCCCTCCCTAGTCACCCCCTTCCTCACTCTGTCACTAGTCACCCCATCCTTCTCTCTGTCACTAGTCACCCCATCCCTCTCTCTGTCACTAGTCACCCCATCCCTCTCTCTGTCACTAGTCACTCCCTCCCTAACTCTGTCATTGTGAAGGAAGGAAGGGGTGACTGGTGACAGAGTGAGAGAGGGGGTGACTAATGACAGAGTGAGCGAAGGAAGGGATGACTGGTGACAGAGTGAGAGAGAGGGTGACTAATGACAGAGTGAGCGAGGGTGTGACTAGTGACAGAGTGAGAGAGGGGGTGACTGTCACTAGTCACCCCATCCCTCTCTCTGTCACTAGTCACTCCCTCCCTCACTCTGTCACTAGTCACCCCCTCTCTCACTCTGTCACTAGTCACCCCCTCCCTCACTATGTCACCCCCTTCCTCACTCTGTCACTAGTCACCCCCTTCCTCACTCTGTCACTAGTCACCCCCTCCCTCACTGTCACTAGTCACCCCCTCCCTCTCTCTGTCACTAGTGACACCCTCCCTCTCTCTGTCACTAGTGACACCCTCCCTCTCTCTGTCACTAGTCACCCCCTCCCTCACTGTCACTAGTCACCCCCTCCCTCTCTCTGTCACTAGTGACACCCTCCCTCACTCTGTCACTAGTCACCCCCTCCCTCACTGTCACTAGTCACCCCCTCCCTCTCTCTGTCACTAGTCACCCCCTCCCTCTCTCTGTCACTAGTCACCCCCTCCCTCACTCTTTCACTAGAGTGAGGGGGTGACTAGTGACAGAGTGAGGGGGGTGACTAGTGACAGAGTGAGGGATGGAGTGGGTGAGCAGTGACAGAGGGAGGGGGTGACACAGTGAGGGAGGTGGTGACTAGTGACAGAGTGAGGGAGGTGGTGACTGTCACTAGTCACTAGTCACCACCTCCCTCCCTCTGTCCCTAGTCACCCCTCCCTCTGTCACTAGTCACCCCTTCCCTCCCTAACGCTGTCAACTAGTCACCACTTCCCTCCCTCACTCTGTCACTAGTCACACCCTCCCTCACTG